GATGACGTCAGCTACGCGGTTTCGTCGAGCGCGCTTTAGTCGAACGCGGTTTTGTGGTGGAACCAAAGAAACTAGCACCGAGAATAGCAGGTAACCAGTTGCTTATAAGTGGCTACAGCAGCACTATTTTGCTGTCTTCAAGCTTAAAAGGAAAGCAGTTTGTGTACACCTACATTTGTGAAATCATTTTACATATTCAAATGCATTTTAAAAAGTGTTACTTTGTGACAAAGAAAACATTTTTTAAAAAAATTGGAGGCCTTTTCAAGATAAAAAATATATGACCTAGAATCTTCCACTTAACGACCGCAGTGGGGACTGTTGTAGCTAAACAATATGAAAACAGGGTCTCATGCTTTACCACTGCATCACTTAACAATAATTGGAAACCAGAATTTCCATTATTAAGTGAGGAGTACACATCCTATACACCAAACTGTCCTGCAGGAATAGCAAGTTAAAGAGAGGAATTGTATGGGTCAATTTCAGCACTGTTAAGCATACTTTTTAAAAATCCAGTGTATCCTTAAGTGGAAATACAGATTTTACATTACAAAAGGAATAAATCATTATACAAAAACATTCACCTTGGGAGGATTAGTGTCTCTCTTACATTATGTTTCCCATTTGAAGAACTTCAGAGCAAAATTTCAATAAAAGTCTATTTTCTCATTAAAAAAAATCCACACACACACAAAACCCCTCCCCCCAAAAATGTAGGAAATTGCAATGCAGGTTTGACTTTATTTAGATATTTGAGCTCTCGCACTAAATTTTACAAGCTGGTGAACACTGGCAAATTATTTCTCCCACAGTACTATAACCACACATTCCCAAGACAGTATAAATATATGGTTGAACATTAATACACACCACCATTTTATCAATTACATAACAAATTATCAAGTATCCAAATATTAAGTTATGCAGCTCAAAAGGCATACAAAATATTACAGAGAACCACCAAATTCATGGTAGAAGCTCAAGAAAAAAAACAAAATCACCTTCAACAAAGCAATCGTTGGTAAACAACTTCCAATAAGTACAGTAAAAGAAATTGCAAGATCTTCAGAAATATGATTTAAGAATTTTCAGCTACCATAAAGCATTTCTACATTAAAAAAATATTTACTAAAGTAAAGGGCATATTCTATACTTTCTGCACAAGACAAAAGGCAACATTTTGCTAGAAATATTAATCAGTCCCCTCCCATTCTTTTATAGGTCTTCTACTAAAGTCGCACATTAAGTGCCAGTATATATTTATTTAACTGTAAGGCTTTTTGTCTGGAGTCGTTAAAGACTTGTGTGCTTCTTGTACGGCGTGACGTAGTACTTTTCCATTAATAACCAGAGAATGTTTTGTGGAAGAGGGTTTAAGTAGTAAAAGTTTAGACACCAACACTGACCGAGTCAGTAAATTGTGTGCAAATCCTGATAATCATTATCGTGTGACTTTGGGAGACAAACAGTGAATAGGCAATTACTCTATGAAGCCCTATCCACCAAATCAGAAGACAGTTAGGAAAAGGGCAAAAGTCCATATAGTTGTAGTTGTTAGGCTTATTACACTGTGGTATACAGAAATAGTGTATTGGGCGTTTGGCACCTAATCTCTATATATGTTCTGATATAACTATTGGGACTTCAAGGAAAAAAACTGGACTACATGATTAAGGATAGTTTAATGATACATACAGTAAGACATTTTAAAAGGCCATGTACATTTGTTATCTAAACAGATCATCTAAACGAAGTTGCTCCCCTGCCAACATCGTGGCCTACACCTATAGAAGCTTCATGTAATCTAGTTAGACATACATGTAGTTTTTTTCCCATGTAACCTGCCCAATTCTAGTTTTTTAGTCTTCTATTTCCAAAGCAGCAATCGAGGCAGCTTTGTTTTTTTACTGAATACAACAGTTGTTACGATGACCATTTGAATCTTTAAAACGGAGGCGCATTTTGGGACGATATTTCTCCAAATAGAGAAGCTGCTTGCTGTTAAAAGCTCCACGTCGCTTCCTACAAAAAAAGCACAGAAGGCATTAATCAAAAAATGTTCAAATAGCAACTTTATCCCTTCACGCTTTCTGTTCAAGATAGCAGAATTGTTCTTTTTTATGGCCCATTTTAAGTTCCTTGCCCAACTTTTACATTACAGTATTTAGTTTACTACTCCTGCACTGCAATAAATTATATAATATCTCTATATACTTCACTGCAGCCGACTGTTTGAATTATTCTAACATCAGAACAATCTTATACTAGAAGAGAAGCAGCTGCCTCTGTCTGCAACTCGTTAAGGCAGCCATGTCTTCCTTCAGAGTATGTGGCACTGGATGAAGCTGAACGTTCTTCATTCTTAAACATGGCTCCCGAATCAAATCCAAAGGGACCAGTCTGAAAACTACTTCAGAAAATCGTTTGAATTAAGAAAATGAGATAACTGTTTCAACACTCACTGTCTTATGAACTGCACCGCATCCTCATACTTCATTCCACATTCAATAAGTGCAAGGGCAACCAGCACAGGGGCCCTAGGGGGGGAAAAATAGTAATATTGAAGTCTGTGTGCCTACCATTAAAAGGATATCTTATAAATAAGCCTCCCACAATGTAGGATTGTCTTAACAATATTCCTGTCTCTTAATATATTTTAGACTGTGTTTGTTAAAAATCTATACCGTGTACGGGCTCTGGGTCTTAGGGGGGGATATATAGTATGTGTTAGATTTCAAAGTAACGCAATTGTACTTGTATACTGTTGCTCTTTAATTCCAGTGTAAAAATAGGACAAGCTGAATATATTAATAGATAGTAGAAATACACCGAAGGGAAGAGTAGAGGGATAGAAAAAAGAGGGGTAGAGAGAGGATTGGAGGGAGGGTGAGAAGGAAGGGAGGGAGTGTACCGGGAGAGAGGAGTGGTAGAGGGGGAGGGGAAGT